ACCGGGGTGGGAGCGGCTATTGCCATAGGTGAGAAGTTGGGAAGGTAAGATACATAAAGTTATTTCATTTATATCTGTAAGCAACGATAAACCATTGCTTGACGAAAGACAACTCCTAGCGTAGTTCGCTAATACATAATTTGAAGTGCCATAATTTATTTTTGCAATTTTAAATTTGATTTCAAAACGCTCTTTAAAAAAAAAAAGTCGTCCGATGATTTTGGAAATTTTACCATCTACACAACTTGAGCTTTCAGAAAAAATATTACACGTAACGGAGCAAGTTCAATAGAAAAAAAAACGTGTCCACAGACTAGAAATGAAAAAGAAAGAAAAAATAAACATCCTAGTAAAACCAATAACTCCAATTGTCGTTTTTTTTTCATTACAAAAATTTCTTATGTTTAGTAATAAGTAATTAGTATGTCTTTAAATGACAAAATCCGGAATTCGTATTTCATTTTTTATTGCAGTAAATCAACTTTTAAATTGGGAAGGGCTGGGGAGACGTCCCTCCAACGCCCCTCCCCGATATGTAAGTATACGTAAAATTGAAAATTAAAAGACGCAAATATTTAGTGTGTCATTAATATGTATTTGTATGCCAATCCCAATGAATGCGAGTTCCACTCGTGGTTTATGAGCATTGGTTTATCTCACCCGAATTCGAATATAGTATAAAAATACAATTATTTTCTACAGTTTTTGTAATATTTCGATCGTTTATGAAATGCGCACATTATGCAGTGGCGTCTGCATTGTGTGAAAACCCCGACGATAACCGCAATTGTATTATATTAAATGCATTTTTCAAAAGAAAAAAAAAACATTAGCTTTTCTACGTACGTAGTACGTCTGTAATCATTTTTCTTAGAATAAAGGTTTATTTGTTTTTTTGCATTTGATTCTTTGTTAAAAAGGCGATCAAAACTGACAGAAAATGATTTTTACATTTCTATAATTCGTGTGCAGTTGTTCACATATTAATTTTTATTTTTTATGTGTTTTCATTGATTTCCGGTCTAACTGTGTGACGAAATTCTCTTGCGATATTTGTCACAAGTGGCAGTGCTTTTTTGTTTTATTTTTTCGTATTTGGACACGCTATATTAAATTTTTGGTGTATTGAAATTGCGTATAATATATTCGACAAAAAATAGACGGACACAAAATAATATGTCGTAAAATATTGTAAAATAATGCCGTGAATCGTGCGATTTCGACAATCTCAATGTACCTACTTAACAATTCACGAGCAATTTCTGATCGATTAACACGCAGAATGCGTGCAATGTTAGCAATTACGTATATTATCGGTGAATCTGTTTCTCCTTAAACGTTTTTAGATAAAAAAAAATATACGTCAACTTCACCACGTTTTTAAGTAACAAGTACCCAGCCAGTACTTCCGTAAGGAAAACAATAAACTGCGATATCACAGTATTATTATTCTGTAAATAGATTTATTGGAAACAGTTATTATTGTACTAGCTGTCACGCCCCCGACGTTGTCCGTACCAATCCGTTATTCTTTTCACCTTTATTCCCGTTTTGCTTTACCCGTATCAGTATATTGAACAAACAAAATATGGTGGAAGTGGGTAGAACTATGCAGTGTGATTCCTTAAATGGCAGACTAAAAGTTTTCTAGTGTGACAGAAATTTGTTCATACCATAGATTACCACATAGCCCAGGAATTCAACTATGTACCTAATATTACAGTCTTAGGAAAGTTCCTTTTAAAAAGGAATTCGTTGCCGTTCTCCGTTCTTACTGCAAAAAGGGAACTCGTTCCCGTTTATTGTTCTTAAAAAAAAGAACTCGTTACTATTTGTTGTTTTTTTTTTTTTTTTATAGACACGCATATTACATATTCATAAAAAAAAAGATACTGGGGACGGGTGCAACTACTGTTGTTGGTGGAAAGTTAGGAAGGTAGGTTAGCTAAAATTAGAAACTATCCTTATTTCTAAGAATCTATGTGTTTAAAATCCTAATAAATTAAATACAATTAATTTCCTAGTTTCTACCCTGAAAAATGAAAAATGAATAAAACATATTACTTGAAAGGTTAATGAAAATTACTTGTAAATTTGACGTTTGCCAATATTAAATAAGTTATATTTTTTATTACTATTTTAAATCATTATTCACCGATTTAGGCGTGAAAACCAAACAGACAGACTTACTTTCACATTTATAATATTAGTTAGGATTGTGACCATAGTGTAAGCAAAAAAAAAAGTATTTTAAGATTACCGACAAGACTTAATTCCGATCGTAATCTAATGTCTTTAAATAAGGTTTAAAACTTCATTATTATCAGTGTTTGAATTTCGGGAGGGGGGTGTTGCGGAGGGGTATCTCTCATTTTCTAAAATTCAAATTATGTATGAATTTACAATTTGATATACCTAATCCATTTATTTATGGTTTAGTTTTGAATTTTGTCCAATACCTTACCGTAGAAAGTTTAAATGAATTCTTAATAGAAAAAATTTCTTGAAATGGTCATAGGTTTAGTAATAACTAAACCCTTGGCATAGAGTTTGTAGACTAAACCCTACGCCCTTCTATTTTTTTTCCTTAATGGACACAGTCACACACAGACTCGGTGTTACAGATGATTCTTACTGCACATGTATTATTACCTCGGTGAGTAAAAATCGCCTGGAGATTAACTATTTTAAAATAAACTATGATCTTTGCGCCTCAATGATAGTTCTTGTATTTTTCTGTAGTATTATGTTACACATGAATATAATATGATGGCCATTGGTCAGCGCACATAACAAAATAGTAAGTGCCCACAGAAATCAATTACATATTGTTTAAATTTATATTCATATTCGTTTATACATTATATTACGTCCACATATTTCATAAAAATAATAAACACAAATAATAAAAATCGACTTTAAAAAACACATACAATTCATTTGTATACGCTGAGAAAATAATATAATACAGATCAATACCAACTGTTTGCGATTATTAGATGTAATACATTCGGTTATTATATCTTAAGGCAATTATACCTACAGACAATGCTTACCCGCCGAGTAATAACATTGTTAGCAAAAATTGAAGGAACAGTCTGATTTCGAAAATATTATTGATTGAAATCTTAAATTATTAGAGGTCTATATAATATGAACATTGCGAATATACCTATTATTTTCTTTTTCGTGTGGGTTTTAGTATAATTATTGTACGAAAATGATCGATTCGGCCTATATTCCGGAACGAATACTGTGTATAGTTCCTAAGCAATTTTACGAAAAAAAAAAAAAAGAAAAAAAAACACACGTCTTGAAATGCGTCGTTATATTTAACGCTGAATTTGTTTCGAATATTTGCCGTATGATAATGCGTAAATAATCTTTTTTTAAATTCTTATTGTGAAGTGTATGATATTGGAAATCGATACTAAATATTTTTTTGTCGCTTTTGTTCATTTTTTTCTTAAAGGCTATTTTCACGTAATATTTTACCAGTGAGTACCGCATAAAATATTTACAATTTTAAAACCCTTTTTTAGACATCGTAAAAACATTTTTATTCGGGTTTACACAGTATTAGGTACCAGACTTTATTACGTTTATGTTAAATTCACGTTATGTATACTCTGTTATAAATACAACAATATATTTACGGGACCGTTTTGTTTATTTAAGAAATTATATCGTTATACGCATAAAAAAAAAACCCTAATGGAACCGATAAATTAAGAATACTGCCAAATTATGTCCATTAAACGATATTAAATTATGCACTGCGTGCACTGCAGATAAAACTCGTTTGGTATATTATTATTATTATATTATCTTGTAAACAAACAAAACTATAAAAAAAAAAAAAAAATTGTAAGGGATTTCAAAATTAAATGATAAATTTCGATTATTTACTACCGACTACAACAAAATATTTGTGACAAAGATTACAGTTTTCGAATTGCATCGATATGTTAATAAGAAAGAAAATAAAATTCTCGTTTTAGTACTTTGGAATAGTAGTTTTAAATATATCGAGTCAATGACGACATCATTTCAGTTTCTTTTAAGGAGAACCAAACATTTTACAAGGCTGATTTTTCCCCTCGATGTCGGGTTCCATGTTAATTGTTGATTAAAAAAGAAAAAATTGATCGAAAACTACTATGGTTGCGGAAAATGGCTGTGTATATAAAGTATATAATTTTTTTTTTTTTTTTTTTTGTTTATTTTTTTTTTGGCTCGTGTTACCTGTTTTTTCCGTGTCATAATCTGATACGTTTTTTTTTTTTAGGCGTATTCACGACAATTTCTGTCGGAACGGTTTAAAAAAACCTAAAAAAAAAAAACCAAGCGTGATACCGTTATAAATATTTCGCGCCACAACATTCACAGAGCTTATGAAATTAATTTATTCATTTTATTAGTAGGTGTTTAATGTCGAGAGAGATTCGCGTAGATTTCGAGTTTTAAAACCTTAATTTTGGTTTCGTTTTCACGATTTTTTTGTACAGAATTCGGCATGTAACTAAAACTTTTTTTTTTTAAAAAAATCAGAATTATAACCTAATATTCGAACACCAAATATAATGATGTTAGTTTTCCGAATTTAGTTCTCAGTTTCGAAAAAATACATAAAAACAAATAACGCTCTGTCTTCAGAATTATTATCGCTTTGAATAATCGCAGTGATTGTGAGAAAATAAGTCTATGTTGCCATTATTCTGATTTAGACTTAGAAAGGAACTATCGATATCCAATCCTATTTAAATTTTAATTAAATTTTTTTGGGTTTAATAAAAAAAAAAATCGTGTGACTGAAAAGTCTTGCATTTCGAAATTCCCTATTCTTCCGATTGTCATAGAATTCACTACAATAGTACGTCGTGATATCGAAAATATCTTTACGAAATGTTTTTTTTTTTTTCATTCCACAATATTAATTGAATTTGAAAAACTCACCGTAACAGTTAGGTATATTATAAAATAAATACGCGTATGTACGTGTATATATTATGTGTTTCGGAACGTAATGTAGTAAAAGTGGTTTTTATTTTTTTTTTTTCAAAAAAAAAAAAAACCCCGATAACGGTTTAATTAACGATATTTTTTCGATGTACGATTTTCCGCGCAATTTTCGGACGGGCGGCTGTGAGTTTCGTCTTCAATAAGGCACGCGCGGAAAACTGTGTGCCCGAGAACCCGGGAAAACTCGGAAAAACGCGATCGAGGCAAACCGTCGCGGCGCGTACACTGAGCGCGTTCCCGTGACGGCGTGCGTTATTATTGCAGGAGATGCTCGCACAAACACGACCGCGCTCCCTGGCGCCAGTGTTGGGCAAAAAAAAAAAACAAAAAAAATTTAGGTTTGTACACTGATGGTTGTGCCACTGTTTTTAGGAGCGAAGTTGAATGGAAGGGTATACAGAGTAATTTAATGTACGCAACGACAAAACCGTTGCTAAATGGAATACGAAAACAAAAAACGATTCTGAACGTTAGTCGTATGTATTCCTTTGTTGCCCTGATGATCCGGAAACGGACAAAAAAAAATTGCTAGTTATTCCCGTTTGTTAACAAAACTATCACAATGTGACCGCCTCAATGCACCGACTATAGTGTACTGTAGCATTACTGTAGTACGATGGACCGTAAATGCTACAAGAAAGTTCCTATAACGTTTTTGATGGAAAAGTTTTATTAAAAAAAATTGAAACCAATGCTTTTGAAAGCAAAACACAATACGTACGAATAATGTTTTCGTTAAGTACAGGTAACAATAAATACGTTAACAGTTATGAAAAATACAACTCACTATAAAAAAATTGCGTGTACTCCTCGAGTTTGTAAAAGTTAAAAATTAAAAATAGACTATAGGTACGTGCTGAAAAAAAAAATAAAAATATTACAATAAAAAATATCTTGTAAACGTAAAACATTTTACGATCATAACACAATAAATTAATAAAATTACTATTTTGCGATTTCCGTACAAAAAACCAAAACGTCTACTATGGATCGATCATCAGCATATTTATTTTGGCCGACACTATCTGGCACGCAACACTACGTACGAACTTAAGGGGGATTCACGTGAAACATTTTACAGTGTCAATACTTTTACTGGTTATCTGCACTTATTGGACGATAATTTGTATTGTTCTGGACATACTATTCCGCTTTTTTGACGTTTATATCGACTATTATTAGGATATTAGGATGTTGTTAGATTTTTAAATTCAATAAAATACATTGAAAAATAATCTAAAAAATGTCTTTTATCGGAACAATACTCTTAAAATATGACCCTAAAAATGTGAAACAAAAATGGAAAAAAAAGTTTCGCTCTTGGTGTTATTTCAGTCGCATCATAGCATTTAATAAAGATAATATAAAGTCGTTACGAAATCACAAACATAATAGAAAGGTTGACAGTCTGTATTTATGACGTACACCCAAAATCTGTTAAAACAAATTAGAGAAAAACGAAATTTCTCGAGATAATATTTTTAATCATCTCAATTCGTATAACATTAACGTAAATACGTCGAATAATTTCATCGATATTTATATTATATTTTACATGATCCGAAACGAAACGATCTGTACGGAAAATGTTAAAAAAAAAAAAAAAAATGGTAGTGTGTGAGTTCCCCTTTATCACTCGCATTCGTTCATTCGCGTACGCTCTGCTGTCGAGCGAAATCATTTTTTTTTTTATTTCTCCGGACCCCCTTTTTCGTCCGTGTATATTATTTTCGTAGTCTCCACTTGGACTCGACGCGGCTATTTAAATCGGACAATGCACCGCGCCGGATGTTCCTGCGCATTGTGTTCCGCCGCCGCCGTGTCGCGTCGTGTCCGCTGTCGTCTAAAACCGGTAGCGCGACAAACAAACACGCGAGCGCGTGACCGTCGTCGTTGTCATCGGAACCTACTCGACGGCGCTCATTTCCCCGCGACGTCGGAAACTAAAAACGAAAAACTCCACGGACAAAATTTATTTGTTAAAATAAATAAACTTTTGCTAGAAAAAAAAAAATACACGAACGTATGGCGGGATTTTTCACGAAATCAGCGAGTCACTTGAATCGTTCAATTAAACTCTGTTATTTATTTATCTATATTTGAACGGGCTAAGTTCAATAATATTTTTGTAAATTTTTATTTATGTAATAATATTATTTAATTGTGACGCGTAGACAGGGGAAACAAAAAACAGAAACAAAATACTGATTTATTAAACAATTGTTATAATGTAATTATAAAAAGACTCGATACAATGAAAACTAAACAAATCAATTTGAAAATCATTAGCTAATTTCTACAAGCGATTATAGTGTACATAAATCTCGATTTTTTTTTGATTGAAACGAATAAATCAAAAGTTTTTGTAGAAATATTTCGAAAATGGTGGGCGTGTAAATTAAAATAACTTCTGAACAGTTTCAAATTATAAATATTCCGACTACGGTGGCAAAAGAAAACAAACAAACAATAATATGTTTTAATTGTAAACAAATGTGTAAATTTTAAACGTGTCTAAAAAATCGTTTGTTCGTTTTTTTTATAAATACCATACAGTCATGACCAATTTTAAATAGTATTTTATCATAATTATCTAAAAACAAAATAATAATTTTAAAAAAATGTTACTTTTTTATCCAAAAGTATGAGAAACTTTTTATTTTCATTTATATTCTCAAAATAAATAATAACTCCATAAACATTTTCACTTTTCAAAACACTTTAGTTATTTTAGTGCAATTTTTTTTTTAAAGTTTCAAACACTTATGTACAAAACGTTTCAAACGTAGGGACTTAACTTAAAATATTATGCAACTCCGAGTTCGACACACGCGTCTAAAACAAAATTTCGAATCGCAAACGTTATTCCAAACTGTTTGCTGCAATTCTCGTTATCATTTGCAGAAAAACAGTCGATCTGGAATGTTTAATTAAATATGCAATATGATTTAATATGGATAATTTTCGGAACGTTTACGACCAGCTTATTTTCATTTTATTCACGTGTCAAAATATAATTTAATGAGTCCCGTTGGCCCCCGGGGAGTGACTCGCTGATTATATATGAAGTTTGACCATAGTGTGGCCATTATTTTTGTAATTTTTTTTTTTTGTAGATATTTTGATAATATTCTTGTCATAAAAGCTGATTTTTTAAATTTTGTATTTATTCATTTTTATTCAACTAAAAATTAGAATATCCCACGGGCGGATTGACTTTTAAAGGGGAATTCCACCTAAAGCAGAGGCCGACCCGTTTTACAAAGTATGTTAACCCTTTCCACTAATACCTAAATCACAACACCACCACTATCACCAAATATATATTAATCAAATATAATATTTAACCATCTTTGACCACCCTAACATACGTCAAGACAGACAAACATCTAAAAAGTATTCACCGAGTTAAGTTCGTAAATACTTATAGACAAATTATAATAAATAGCGATCATGTTACAATATATTTTGTCCGTACACTGTTGTCTGCTTCTCTGCTCTCATACGATTGATACCAGACCACCTACATGAAATCCCAATCAATTGAACTCATATAAAAGCGTCATTATTTAAAACTTCAAAATATGCTCCCCACTCCCTTTGTCTAATAGTAATACTAATATTAATTTACCGTACGATCTTGACAGATGGAAATAAGAATTCACTTCAGCTGAACAAACTTTTTTAATACCAAGTTACAAAATAATTGAGTATATCAATTATTTCTGTATACGTTCTGAATGGAAAGACAGAGCTATTATAGTTTTAAAAAGACGTGCTCTATTTTTACGGTAAACACTTTTACAGTTAATAAAAATTTAAAAAGTTCCAGAACTTTTAGCTAAATCACTGGTTAACCGAGCACCGGAGTTTTTCTTGTGAATTTTACTTTTGATATTTATTTGTCATTGCTTTCAATACCTATTAACCTTAATAACCTGATAAACTTCTCATCAATAACAATAACCGACTTATAAAGAGTAGTCCGAAATTTTTTTTTATTATTATTATACAAAGTGTCCCACAAAGATGCAATAATTTTTGTTCTTTTCAATATTTTTAATATTTGTTATCATTGCATTTGTCAAGCATTGCACTAAATTACTCTATTTTATACTTCACAAAATTCGAGGTAGCCATTTGATAGTTATAGATTTCGAAACCAAGGATTGGTTTAAAAAATGTTTGCTTATAAAAAACTATTAAGTTTCTATAATTTTCTAAGTTTAAATTAATTTAAATGGTTCTCATTTCTACTACTAAATAGTATCGATTAACATATTTGTCTGTAAAAAATAATTTCGTTAACTATATATTTACCTAATTTAATAATATTAATGGTATTTTATATCATTTCAAAAGGTTATATTTTGAAATTCAACTCAAAATATTTGTGTTATTTCTAACGATAAAAATTATAATATTTAATTAAAGTGGTTGTAAAAAATTTATTTTTTCATAAATTTAGACCAATAAACTGGAAAAAATACATTTTTCTTAGTTTTAAGTGAAACGTGGAATGTATTGGTTTTACTATGGTGCGTTTTTTTAAGTTTGTTGACGACTTTTCTACCAAAAATCTTGCGCTTATCAACAAATAACAAGAGATTATATATTTGCTGCATAAAATATTTGCAGCACACATTAATATTATTTGTTGGAGAATTAGTAAATGCATTTTTAAAGCATGTTCCCATTTCATTTTTAGGATAACATTTTTAGAGAAACTTTGAAAAGTCACATCCTCTTGGTATTGACTGTTGAATGAAAATCAAATAATTATTTTGAATATGTTTACACAAAGAGTATTGTTTTACATTATGAAACATGATAATATTTATGTTTTTTGCGAGTTTTCGGTGTTGTGGTACAATAAGCATGACCCATAATTATTATGGGTTGGCAGCTACCAAATGCGAAAGTGTAAAATCAAAATTAAAACACGACATGTGGTAAACAAATTATAACAAATCGGGTAAACCAATTCTCAATATTTTTTATTTCATATTTTCATCAATAGTTCAGTTTTCATATCAGCCCCGTTACAACGTTTCATGTCACCACAACCGGATGTCAGCCACTCCGGTTTCTATCACGAATAGAACTATGGATCAGAATGGTGCACTGGATCATTCTTTTATTTTATTTTTTTAGTAATTTTCATCATAATTGGGGGAAGAACCGCAAACCATTACCGATATAAAAGTCTCATTG